AGATAGTTCAAAATCAAGATGTAAAACGCTTATAAAAATACCATTAAAATATCTTTCAAACATGGCATCCGAAAGATAGCGGATCTTCGAGCGTTTCGAGTTTGGACATGCATGTTTGAAAAGAATCTTGGAAAGAATCTCGAAAGAGAAGCCAGTGAAATGATTGTTAACTTTGAGCTTAAGACAATTTTAAAGCCTATTCTACAATGTGCTTTTTATTTCCTATTTCTTGGTTTTTCCATCTCACCACGTTTTTATATCTCACCACGTGTATGTCTCACCATGTGTTTCTTGTTTTTTCCGAAGTTTGTTAAAGCTTATTCTACAATGTGCTTTTTCTGTTTCTTGCACTTTGCTATTTTTTACATCTTATCTTTTGCTTCTTATCCGGTTTTTTGTTTTATGTCGCCCGAGACAAAAGTTAACGAACTTTGGCGGAAACAGGAAACAAAGAGCACATCGTAGAACAAGCTTAACTTTTATCTTGTGTAATAGAAAACGAAAAATGGGAGCAAAAGAAGCAATAAAAAAATAACAAAATGCAGGAAACAGGACACAAAAAGCACATTGTAGAATAAGTTTTAGAGATCAAGCTTTGAATACCGTTCTACGTCGTCAGAGTTTCTCCTAATGAGGATCGACAACCTTTATCGTTGTGTAATTGTACTCACTGCTTCTTCTTTTTCTTCTTTTTCTTCTTCTTCTTCTTCTTCTTCAGATAAATGCCATCCGGAGGAATTAAAAGGGGAGGTCAATACAAGTTACTCTACTGTTGAATGGGAAAATAAATTGCTAAAACAACCGAATGCTATTCAACGAAACATTGTCTCGTATTATAAAGCAATGGAATACTTTTTTTCACCTTTTCCCGATGATGGAACTCTATTCACAAGAACTACTGTCACGATTTAGAACATCTATATAAAATTAACTTATTCAACACCTTTTTCTGACTGCAACTTCCGTTGCATATCGAGCACTGAAATGATCCTTGATCATGATCGTGTTCGTTCTACAAACTGTTCACTGTTTCTCGATTCTCCTTGTTTAGATTTGTTATGCGACGTTAGTGCGAAAAGGCGAGTGCGAAACGAACATGCGCAGTTTGCGACATATATAGCATTTTCAGCCCTACCGAGTTTGCACTAACATGGGTTGGAAAATGCTTTGCTATTGGTTGACGTTACACGCCCTACCAATAGGAGAGCAAGAAACGTAATTCAACCCCAATATTTTTTACGCCACTGTAAAAATCGCCTCGTTGATTGATTGCTGCTTCCGCTGCTTGATGCTCGCATGTGAATGCATCTTAACACGCCAGGAATGTTCTTTACAATACAATTGTACTTTTCTAATACAATCCATCAAATTTTAGTACGTCAGTACTTCTTCCACAATAGTTGTACTGGCAATCAGTACATATTCATAAATTCGGTACAAAGAGTACAAAATTTAGTCTTTCATGTTCTATAATCGTTAATTGAGCTAGAGAAGATATTTTAATCTTTATGACCTTTTGTTTGTAACGTTGGTATCGAGCAGTTGCATGAGCGCTTTGTGCGTATTTCGTATCTTCTGTACTGACGGCTCCTGCACACTGGACGCGGAAATGTTTACCGTACGGCAAAATGCGACGCGATAACCAATTAACATGTTAGGAGCTGTAAGCTTATTGGCTGCGTTCAGCAGACTCAACAGTTTTGCAACCGTTTCATGATTGTCTGCTGAGATAGGACCATTCTTCTAGATCTAAAAGTATGATCCAATCAGCGCGAAGGAAACTTCCAACAGTTGCAAAACAAACGTTCTGCTGAACGCAGCCATTGTCTGCTGAGATAGGACCATTCTTCTAGATCTAAAAGTATGATCCAATCAGCGCGAAGGAAACTTCCAACAGTTGCAAAACAAACGTTCTGCTGAACGCACCCATTGGCTACCGCGTCACATTTTTGCCGCGCAAAGTTACACGACAATTTTCATAAAAAAAGAGGGGGTAATGTTGGTAGCAAAAAAAACCCTTGAGGCACCATAGTTTTATTTTCTACGGATTGATAATATTTACAAGTAGTAATCCGTTAGTTTGCGTCGATCATGATCGATCGAGTGTAAAAGTAGTGTAATTACATGATAATTCGTGAACTGTTCGCGAACGGCTGTTATCGCGGAGGTTTCGTGTTTTGACGGAGTTATGTGTATCAAAAGATTAATAACGTCTTCGAGATTACTCAGATAAGTTTCATTAAATATTAGGTAATTACGGAGATGACGGCCGACCTCACCGATTTTAATGAAATTAGGCTCATTCGATGCGTTTTTGCATGAAACGAACGAATCTGGCAGAAATAAGCGTCGCTCTGCCCCGCGAACCGAGATATTTAGCGTTAAAGTTCACGACCGTTAAGGTTAGGAAATCTGTCATAGCGCTTATATCGAGTCGGTATGACAGATTTCCTAACCTTAACGGTCGTGAATTTAACGCTAAATATCTCGGTTCGCGGGGCAGAGCGACGCTTATTTCTGCCAGATTCGTTCGTTTTATGCAAAAACGCATCGAATGAGCCTAATTTCATTAAAATCGGTGAGATCGGCCGTCATCTCCGTAATTACCAAATATTTAATGAAACTTATCTGAGTAATCTCGAAGACGTTATTAATTTCTTGATACACATAACTCAAAACACGAAACCTCCGCGATGACAGCCGTTCGTGAACAGTTCACGAATTATCATGTAATTACACTACTTTTAAGGTGCCTCTTTATGCGCAGCACGCTGCGGCAGCAAAACGTCACGTGACGCAAATTTATTTTACATGAGATGACGCACTTCCGGCGCAAAATACATTTTGCCGCAGTTCGTTAAAGTTGAACCAAAAGAACAGCAAACAACAAGCTGCAAAATCGAAACGCGCAATACGTCGTAAAGCTTAAAAAAGTCTGCACTATCGACCTCGATCATGTTCGGTAATTGGTTTAGGATCCCCTTAATATAAAACAATGAAGAATGGCTTCGAATAATGTACGGATACATATTTGTAATTAATTAATTGATTAATTATTTTCAATAAGTAGATATCCTTCAAATGTTCAAATCCTTCCAAGCACTTATGAGTTGAAATTGATGATTCTTCTACTATTTCTTCACAAATTCCGCAAGTGTTAACAAGATTTATCTAACAAAAAAAAAATACATGAATAGTCAACACATTATAAGATGATATTACGTTAGATTACAAAGTACACATGCACTTTCCCATGAAACGATTTAAGAAGCAAGACCAAAGTGTTTTGTTTAAAATAAACTATAACTTTCTAAATTAGATTTTATACTTTATCACGAATTTGAAAGTTACAACAATTGCGATATATATCATTCACATTCTCGATGTCAACAGATTAAGGTTATGATTTGCTTTCATATTCGATTTATTGATATCTACTTATTGAAAATAATTAATCAATTAATTAATTACAAACATGTATCCGTACATTATTCGAAGCCATTCTTCGTTGTTTTATATTATGGGGATCCTAAACCGATTACCGAACTTGATCGAGGTCGATAGTGCAGACTTTTTTAAGCTTTACGACGTATGCGCGCTTCAATTTTGCTGTTTGCTGTTCGTTCGGTTCAACTTTAACGAACTGCGGCAAAACATTTTGCGCCGGAAGTGCGTCATCTCATGTAAAATAAATTTGCATCACGTGACGTTTTGCTGCCGCAGCGTGCTGCGCATGAAAAGGCATCTTTACACTCGATCGATCATGATCGGCGCAAACTAATGGATTACTACTTGTAAATATTATCAATTCGTAGAAAATAAAACTATGGTGCCTCAAGGGTTTTTTTTTGCTACCAACATTATCCCTTCTTTTTTTATGAAAATTGTATAACCCGCGGCAAGCGTTTCTGCATTCAGTGTGCAAGAGCCTTTAAAGTTAGTACTCTCTCCTTCTCCGAGGAACATCCCTGTTATGCGGGGTCTACAATAGGCCTGTTCTTTTTGGCTGAACTTTTGCACCAGTTCATCTTTCTTCCTCTTCTTTCCTCCTGGGGAGAAAAGGAAGAAAGATAAACTGGTGCAAAAGTTCAGCCAAAAAGAACAGGCCTAATAGAAGTCATAGCGGTCGTAGTCTTAAGTCGTAGAAAATTGACCAATCACAGTTGATTATTCTTCTCATATTCGACTGTGATTGATCAATTTTCTACGACTTAAAACCCTACGACTGCTACGACTTCTATTGTAGACCCCGCATTAAGACTATCACACGTACAAAAATTTTAGTCGGAGTCGTAAGGTCACAAACAAATCGATCAATCACAATTAAAATAAAAATCTCGTGCTTTTAAACACTCGACTGTGATTGGCCGATTTGCCTACGGCCTTGTGTAGGGTCTACAATAGAAGTCGTAGAGGTCGTAGGGTCTTAAGTCGTAGAAAATTGATCAATCACAGTCGAATGTGAGAAGAATAATCTACTGTGATTGGTCAATTTTCTGCGACTTAAGATCCTACGACCGCTAGGACTTCTGCGGGGTCTACAATAGAAGTCGTAGAGGTCGTAGGGTCTTAAATCGTAGAAAATTGACCAATCACAGTAGATTATTCTTCTCACATTCGACTGTGATTGGTCTATTTTCTACGACTTAAGACCCTACGACTGTTACGACTTCTATTGTAGACCCCGCATTCTATTGTAGACCCCTCATGATGGCCTTTACGTGCAGTGTCGTATTTCACAGCTGTGACAGATTGTAACCTCAGCTGTGACAGATTGTAACCTCAATGATCGTTAACTTTCACGCTTAATATTTCGATACTCGGAGCAGAACAACACTTATTTCTGCCAGATTCTTTCGTTTCATGAAAAAACGCGTCGAACAATCCTGATTTTATTGATTTTTGAGATGTAGTTAAATTGTATAATTACCCAATTTAGTACATCATTCTTTAAATACATTGCTGAAATTAAGGTAATTTAATAAAAAGTTACTAATTAGTAAACGTATCAAATTCTCGGTGTAAAAGGGATCAGTGGAACACGGTGTAACGTTGTGTGTCCTAATTGAAAAACAGGCTATGTCAGAGAAAAAAAATTAATTGGTAAACAAGTGTTGACTATAGCTGTCAAATTCTACCTCCTTTTAAATTCTTCTCTTCGCAGATCTTTGATGCACACTATTATGCTTGACATGTATAACTGCGAATGAAGTGAAGAGAAAGCGACGAATGAAAATGATGACCAACATGGAAAAATCCAGATCAATGGAGATTCAATTAAAAACTGAAAAACAATTGAGGTAATCTCTTCACGTATTTCTTAAGATCAAGATACTTTATATTACTATAATTAGGATATTACATTATATATTATTTTAAATTACAGAATAGAGTTCTGCAAATAGTTTTTAAAAGTAACCCAGAAATGGAACAAATTATGTCTATTTTTATAATCAGGGCAGGTTAAAAGCTCCTAAATATCTACCTAGTAAAAAAATTGTTTTAATTAAGTCATTTATTTAGATATATAATTAAAATTTTACGAGACTCAGCAAGCGAATTCTTCATACTAAAATGTAGAAGAAAATTTGTATCAATATATATTTACAAATGTATAGTTTTTTTAAAATATGCAGGATATAATAAGATTCCAAAGATAAATCTCAAGGGAAGTTCTTCATAAGATACAATCTTATGAAGATTGTATATCTTATAAGATTGTATCTTATGAAGAACTTACCTTGAGATTTATCTTCGGAATCTTATTATATCCTGCATATTTTAAACATTTTAATATAAATTATTACATATAAATTATACAGAGTATTTTAGACCTACCATACCATCTACTGACAGATTCCTGAAATCATTTTGAGATGAAAATTTTAATACCAAAATGTTGAGGCTACAATAATTTTCAAATAAGAAAATTATGTTTAAAGATCAATCAGATTGTAAAAAAATGGACACACAGATTCATTGTATAGTCAAGATGCCCTTAGATATGTTTAAATATTAACAAAGTTTAATATATAATATATATTATATTATATAAATATACATTATATTTATAATATAATTATATAATGCATAATATAATGCATAATTTAAAAGTATTATTTATTTTTCAATAGCGAAGATATAGTAGATTTCTCAGAAGCTGCAGAAAAACTGACGGAAGGTCTTTTGAGTATTTATCAATCTCCACTGGAACAAGTTAAACAGGAACTTTTCGAGCTGACGTAAGCATGTAAATCAGTAATGCAAATAATAAAGATTTCACGTTGATTGTTTATGTTATATTATTTTTCTTACAGTAATAAACAAGAAGCTCTATTTGCACGAATGCAGCTTGAGAATAAAAGGATATATGAGACATTTGAAGATATAGATTTAAATGATATGGTAAAACTTTTTCCTTCTTTCATGATATAAGTTAAATACAGGGAATGGAAAGTTACTATTTAAAAGTAACAAGTTACAGTTACTCGTTACCGAGTCGAAAAAGTAACTAGTTACAGTTACTAGTTACCGATTTTTAAAAATAACTCGTTACAGTTACCGTTACTTAAAAAAGTAATTTTTCGTTACTTTTCCGTTACTTTTTTAAAATCGACGACCACCAATCACAGCAGACGAGTGCTTGGAGGCTTTCTACAGTCTCAAGCGCTATGAGTGGCTTGTGTCTATTTGTCTAATCGATGTCCAATCGTAGAGATGTAAACGATGGAAAAATTCTAGAATTTTAGGGTAAAAAATTTGGGAAATGGTTTTTTTCCTTCAGCTTTGACAGTTTTTTTACTCGGATATTTTTTTAACATTTCACGATTTCGACGCTGTATTATTGCTCCAGAATTTAATTTTTGCACTTATCCGTAAGATTTTTGTGTGAAAATAGTTACAAAGTTATAATATAGTATAATGTCGATGACTATAAATATACTTTACTTTTCACTATTATTTGAATGACATTTTACTTCTGTATACTGTACTTCAATTTTAAAAGTGAAGTAAGTATTCCATACTTGTATTATTAATACAAATAATACTTTACTAGACTAATTGACACTATTTTTTGTCGTATACTGTGATTATACATATTCTAAATTTAAATTATAGTGAGACAATGTTCATCGAATCTCTAACTACGCTTAAATCAATATTATATTGAGATGTTGTCTTAAAATAATTAAAATATAGAGTACAATTATAATCAATATGCAACAAAACAATATCTATTATGCTTATAAAGTATTATCTGTATTAATAACATCATTTATTTAGCTTTTAAATATATGAAATGTCTGTCGTTCCAATATATTGAAATAACTTGTTTCTTTATAAATTTTATGTAATTTAGTCAAAAATACCGTTATTTACAGTAAAAAAACTAATTGTTTGCTTGATACTTTTCTCCGAAGTAAAAAATACCGTTTTTTACATCTCTATTCAATCGTGCTAAGTAACGATGAAAGTAACTGTAAAATTCGTTACCGTTACCAAAAAGATGTAACTAAGTTACCGTTACAGTTACCAAAAAGAAAAAGTAACGCAGTTATCAGTAAAGTTACCCAAAAAGTAACTTGTAACTGTAACTTCGTTATAAGTAACAAGTTACTTCCATTCCCTGGTTGAATATCCTTAATCTGAAATGCTTGGAACCAGAAATGTTTCAAATTCTGAATATTTTTTAATTTGGAGTACATAGCATGATAAAGTTAAGATGAAAATAAAGATTAAATTTGGAACAAAAAATTTCATCTTTATTTACACAAAATTAATCTATGTTTTTTTTTAATATTTGGTTTTTAGAGATTTCGAGTTTTGGAATTTCGGATTAGGAATCTTGTAATATGTTTGGAATATCGACATTTCATGACAGAAAAATTACATTTAAAAATGTTATAGTTTTCAGCCGTTAAAATTTATCAAGGAAAATTAACAGTGATAAGAAAAGAAATGATTAATATTCATGAAAGAACGTCTAAACTAAAGGTGAATTATAAAATTAATTTTTCTAGGATGTGCGCATATAGATAACATAGGTATTTTCAACTATATAAAACGACTTATTGCAGAAACGCGTGTTGCGTCTTCAACAGATTAAGAAAAAAGAATCAATGAATAGGGAACAACAACGTGAACAAGAATTGCGCAAGGAACAAGAATTAATTGGAAAATCTACAACTAATTAAAAAAGTATAAATCTGTATAAACCGATAAATTTTTACAAATTATTTCTATAAGAGAAATATGACTATGTTTCCACCGAGAGTCAAAGTCGGATCAAAGTCGGGTTCAGTTGAGTGCTTTTACGGAAACATTAAGAATCCTATCCGATAAAATTTTAAGGTAGTTATCAGATTCCTTTTTACAATTTCGGACAACATTTTGATTAGTCAAAGAGCAGCCGCCATATTCAAGATGCATCCTTGAGAATGAAATACCTTATATTCTCGTATCATGGTGTAACTCTGCCACAACTCTGATTGGTGGAAACAGACAAGCCAACTTAACTCTAAATCCAACTCTGACTAGAGAGGAACCTGAGAGTAGGCATCCCAGCCTTTTTTATGTAACAAACCTCGTAGAGTAATGTATACGTTTTTGTGGTTCTCTTCCATACTATTAAGTGGGTTAGACAAGGACGGATAATCAACTTTGATTGCTCTCAAGTTTCTCTCTGCTCTGACCTGATTTTGACCCGATTCAAACCCTCGGTAGAAATTAGACATATGGGTACCTATCATGGAACAAAATCGGAATGGATTCCGATCGGAATTATTCAATTATTCCTTAGATTTCTATTGTGTTTTCTAGGGAAAACGGAATAATTCCGATCGGAATCCGTTCCGACTTTGTTTCATGATAGGTGCCATGGTTTGTTTTCTGTTCCTGCACTAGAACTGTCTCTCGCTTTTGACAAATATCAAACATATCCCACTTTAAAGTTCCAAAAGTGTACACTAGTTCAGCCACAGAAAACAGACCTAGGGCTCTATTCTTGAAAAGAAACGTATATGAAAAACTAGGAAAATACTATAATATACGTAACATATACTGTAATATTTCCCTAAACTTTCGTATACGTTTCTTTTCAAGAATAGACCCCCTATAGTCTAGAGGTGCGTTCCGTTATTCACTGCAAGTATTGAAAATCTATAGTTCACATTACCATATACTATAGATTTTCAATGCTTACAGTGAATAATGGAACGCAGCCTATGTGAAAAAAATATTTATAGGTCTGTTTTCTGTTCCTACATTAGACAATACTAGAACTCTCTTTCTCCCTTTTGGCCAAATATTAAATATATATCTACCTCATTTTAAATTTCAAATGTTAAATATATACCTACCTCATTTTAAATTCCAAAAGTTTACACTAGCTTCAGCCACAAAAACAGATCCTTTGTCTAAAAAATGTAAAGATTTACACATTCATACAACTAATCTTTATAAATAAAATGTATATAGAAATTATCAAGTCTTTACTTCTTCAGTCAACCTAGAAAATATCGATGTCTTGTAGATATCTAAACGATATCTTTTGTAAGATATCTTTAAGACATTTCTAGAAGATATCTAGAAGTTAAAAGATGTCTGAATATAATGCAAGATTTACTGAAATATTTTGCCTAGGAAATATTTCGATAATTATATTTTTTATGTGTATTTTTTAAGACGAGGAAAATAAGAAGAACATGAAATAAAATATGATGTTCCTCGATATTTATTTCTTACGTCTCGTAGAGAGTTACATGTTAAATTATATGCATACAAATTATGGAGATAACCACACGTTGCAGTGAGTCCTTATATATCGTGGAGATAAATAATTAGGTAGAAGAAAAAGGAAACAACTATATTTTTAATTTTACTTCAAGGCACATATTCACTCTACTCACTTAATCACGATCGACGCATATATAATCGTATTGGTTCTGCTGTCTTTTCATATTTCGGTAACCTTCAGTTCACATTCTGCATTATTAACGCATTGCGAATGTATTAAAATAAATAATTCCTATTTTTTCATTACAGCCGAATTATGACACGTGAAATTACCTCTTTTTCTTGCATCTTTTTCATGCTTTATATACGTTGATAAAATTAATTTTTTCGCATCACGCATATCCGATAATATTGTAGATTAATAAAATATATTAATCTGTCGATATGTTCATTTGTCCCGATATCTTTCTATTTTCTTGATATGTTAGTAATATATTCTATACAACGCCAATTTTAAGTGATTTGACTACACGTGAATTATTGATGATCCTAGGTATTTCTGTTTGTGTTGTTATATTGGTTAACTAAAATATATTTTATAATAATTAAAAAGTACAAAAATTATTATAAATTATTAGTTAGAAAGATTTAATATATCGATACTGTATTATAATTATGTATCCACGTATATATAATATCAGAAATTATTTTATAATTTTCTTTTTAGTCAAAATATCTAATGGTTTGAACGGAAAGTTAAGCTTGGATCTGATGTGTTAATTAATCTTTATAACATCATTTTTATATCAATAATTAAAAATAAAAATTATAATTAGTTAATAATGAATTAAAAGCTCACTTTTCAATTTGTGAATTAATTTAATAAATAAGCATAAATCTTGAATGACTATTGTATATATGATTCTTTTCTAAAAAAAAAAAAAAAAAA